ATACTTTTTGCTAATAAAAATATAATGAGGTAAGAAAAAATAATTTGAGGTATTTTTGGATAAAAAATAAATTGGGGTATTTCTTTGAAAGGAAAAATAATTTGAGGTATTATTTGATAAAAAAGACAAATTGAGGTATTATTTGGTAAAAAAATAAATTGAGTTAAAAATTAATAATTTCAGGTATATTTTGGTAAAAAGATACATTGAGGTACAATATAATTAATTAAATATTTCATTTTATTTATTAATTTATTTATATTGCAAGTTATATATATTATTTTTTTATAGTTTTAAATAAGATTTTTTTAAATTAAATAATATTACAAGATATTTTAGATTTCTTCTTATTTGCATAGTAATATAATTATAAAATATAAACCAACAATTTTAATTTTAGTATATAATATTATAGTTAGTTATGTTGTGATAATTTTACATGAGGAAAGCAAATTAATAAATGTTTGATACTTTGATGTGATATTAATTTCACTTTTTATGAAAAATTATTATTTTTAATATGTTAATATGGAATTATTTTGTTTAATATTTTTAGATTATTTTGATGCAATATAATTAATAATTATGCAGACATTGAGACAAGAAAACAACATCTCAATGTTCACCTATTTTTACAAAGTAATAAAAGTACCTAATGCACCACTCCTAATTTTTAATAAAAACTAAAATAACACTATTTTTAGAGATTGAAAGTGATTTTTTGAAAATATTTTGAGACACTAATCCACCGATTCTCCGATCCAACACGGGTATGGGTGTGACAGATTTGAGTAATATTATTTGGATCTAAATTTTGGATCCAGATCTGAATTCGCATCCATAAGTGGATTTGGATGAGATCTAAATTTTGGATTTTAGATTTTGGATCTGGATGCGGATCGAGTAAATTCTCAGCCCTAGCCCTCTGTACGTCGTACTTCGTGGGGTGAGGATGTGAAAATACAGAAACAACAGGGTGTTGTGGTCATTTAGGTCCTTAAAACCCAAGGGCCATCCCTAAAATCCTGCCTCCAAGAGTCCAGAGCTTTTGGTGCAAGAGGATTGAGGGAGAGAGAGTTCTAGAGAGAGAGGCGGAGAGTTCTAGAGAGAGAGGAGAGGGGAAGAAGAGAACTAAGAAGGCTGCTCTCTCATTACAAGAAGCCTTTCTCTCTCTTATTCTGAGAAAATTTAGACATGGCCTTGAGAGCACGTCTTGGTATTGAAGTGAGGCGTCTGTACTCTTCCTATGCTTCCTCCTTCGTTCCTCCACCATCACCAACGCCTCCTCCTCCTCCCGCTGAGCCGTCCACAAACCTGTTTGTCTCAGGCATGTTTTCAGATGGTTTGTTCATTTTCATTTCCATTTCTCGAACATTTTTCCCATACTTATATTCATTTTCAATTACTGATTTTGCTGTCCTTTTATCTATTTATTTCAACAGTCTGATTGAAACTCGTTATCGAAGAGAGTATAGTGGCTATCACATAGCGGGCCTTTGCTATATCATAGTATGTCAAGCTTCTTGGTGCTGTTTATTTATATTGTGAGGCTTTTGTGCTTTAGGAAGTCTTCTGTGAATTTTCTTATGGTTTGACTTTCTAATGGTTGGTTTCTTTGCAAATATTTGGTTTGACTGAATGTGTTTTATTGTATATGCTGGGTAATTGTGTGTTTTTTATGACTTTTGTAATCTCTGATTGATTGAGAGTTTGATGCGTTATTTGCACTTTTCTATGTGATGAAAAACAATGAAAATGTCTTTGAAATTGGGGGTTTCAAGTTAATTACTACATGTATCTTGCATTGTAATAGTGTTTGCGAGGGCTTGTGTTTTTTTTCTGTTTTTGTCTTTCGGTTTTTTGTTGTTTCTCTTTGTTTTTTGCGTTGATATCTGAATTGAATTCATCGGGTTTTAAAGGTCTCTTTTTCTATTTTTTATAGGTTAGTTTGGTTCACATCCAAAATCTCATTAAGGGTCATTTGGTTGAATAACCGAATTGAATGCATTGAGTTCTAAAGGCTTCTTTTTATTTTTTGGATAATTTAGCCATCTCACATCCAAAATCTCAAGGCAGCAAATGATTCTTAAAGGTCATTTGGAATCTTTAATTAGGCTCAAACATTAGATAAAAGAACGACTTCTAGCTTCTATGAGAAGCCTTATGAAGCTTATGATTCTCCGAAAATGGGTAGCTAGTGTTTCCTACTTCTTGCTCAGGTCGTTCTAATGTGAGAAAAGAAAATACAAACTGAGTGAGTCACGTAACAATTGCTTTTGGATGGGGAAATTCAATTTCACTGGTTTCCCATTTTGGAGAAAATATACAGATAGGCCTAAAGGGCTCCTTTTGTCCTTTCCCAAAATGTGTGGACCTTAAAGACCTTTTCTTTTCAAATTTATCACTCTATGTATGAGATTGAAACAAAATAAAAAACATTTATGAGTTTGAAGAGTTTTATTGTGACATCATAATGTCGATTTAGGTTTCCAATTGAAGTTTGCCATTGCTCCATATTTCCCTGTAATTATGTTTCCATGATATATTTCAAAGAACAATTGTGGGATTATGGAATTTTGGGAAACAATTTATTGATATTAATTGGTTAACTACCATCATCATCATCGTCATCGTCCAAGCCTTATCCCAATTACTTGGGGTTAGCTATATGAATCTTATTCCTCTATTCTTCTCTATCAAGGGCCAAACCCTCACTAAGACCAAAAGTGACCATATATTTTCTTACTACTTCTATCCATGTTCTTTTGGGCCTTCACCTTGCTCTTTCAGAGTTTTCCACTAGAACAAAATCATACTTCCTTACCGGTGCTATATTAGGTCTACTCTGCATTAGGGTAGACTTAATTCTACCTTGATCTTATCGTCTATTTAAGCCACACACCTAAGTTCCCTCATATGCATTCATTGTGAATTCTATCCTTTCTTGTCTTGCCACTCATCAATTTCAAAATCCTCATTTCTGTTATGCTTATCCTATGGATATGTTGTTTCTTGATTGCCCAATAATTCGTCTCATAAAGCATGGTTTGTCTGACAACCATCCTATGGATTTCCCCTTTAGTCTCAATGGTATGTGGCAATCACATAAAATTCCAATTGTACATCTCCACTTCGCCCATCCAGCTCTAATTCTACATGCGACATCTTCCTAAACTCTCCATTCTCTTGAATTATCGACCGTAGATATTGCAAACAATCTTTTTTAGGTATTTCTTGTCCATCAATGTTAACTCCTTCCTTGTTTCTACTCTTATTATTGCGAAATTTGCATTTTATATATTCTGTTGTAGGTCACCTAATTTTAGACTTTAGATTTTAGAACATCCCTCTAATGTTCTTACTTTGTGTTGACACCGCCTCTAATCTCATCAATCAAGACTATGTCATCCACGAGCAATATACACCACGATACCTCATCTTGTAGGTGCTTGGTTACTTGGTTAACTCGTCCATAACCAAAACAAAGAGATAGATGTAAACCCATTGTCACTGAGAACTCATTTGTCTCTCCTCTAGTTGTCCGCGTACTAGTTCACGCTCCCTTGTACATATCTCTTACTATGTCGATATGCCCTCTGATGACTCTTATTATTTTCCAATACCCACCAAATTAAATCTCTAGGTACCTTATCGTATGCTTTCTCTAGATCAATAAAGATGTAGAGGTCTTTCCCCTTCGCCCAACTTCTCAATCGGTTGCCTAAGTAGGAAAATGGCTTCCATAGTTGACCTTCCTGGCATAAAACTGAACTGATTTTCGGATACACTCGTTTCACACCATAGTCGTTGCTCAATCACTCTCTCCCACAGCTTCACGGTGTGGCTCATAAATTTAGTCTCTTGATAGTTTGTACAATTCTGTATGTCTCTTTTGTTCTTGTAAATAGGTACCACAATACTTTTTCTCTATTTGTGTGGAATTTTCTGTGTTCCAAACTTCCCCGTGGACTTTTAAACCTCTATTGGGATACCATTTGGTCCTAAAGTCTTTTCATATCTTCATCTTCTCAAAGCTTCTTTCACTTTAGATATCCTAATCTTGCAAATGTAACTATGACCTTTGCCATCGTTTATGTCAAATGTTCCTCCTAACGTTATGTCCTAATAGTGTTCATTATTTAACAATTTTTTAAAATAAATTCTCTACCTTTCATTGACCTTTCACCAGGATCCTTGATTCTCACTCTTAATGCATCTAATATGATCTAGATCCCTATACTTCTTCTCTCTCATTTTTGCTAGTTTGATGTCCTTTTCACCTTCTCTTGTCCCAAGTATATTGTATAGATTATCATATACTTTAAGTTTAAGCCTTACTATTTTCTTAGCATTTTTCTAGTATTTTTATATTCGTCTAATTTTTTATCATTTCTATTACATTGCGAAAATTTATAATTTTTTATCATTTCTATTACATTGCGAAACTTTATAATTTTTTATCATTTCTATTACATTGCGAAACTTTATAATATGATCATTTTTCTGTTAATAGCTCACTCCACCACTAGGTTTCTTTGTCGAAATTTCTTTTCCCCTTGGTTTCTCCTAAAACTTCTTTCGTTACTTTCTTAATATAGTCGACCATCTCATTCCACAAATATTAACTTCTTTAGCATTTTATAACTAAATAAGTCTATGTTTTTCTTTTTTAAATTCCACCACCTAGTTGCTGGACACCTATTAGTTTCACTGTTTTTTTTCCATCTCTTTAAAAAGACATCCATAACCATGAGCTTATGTTGTATAGTCAAACTACCTTGCAGTCTTTACATGATGGTCTTTGTACCTTCTTGATTAGAAAGAAGTCTATCTGGCTTTTAGATAATCAACTTCTATAAGTTATTAAATATTCATCTTGCTTTTTAAAGTAGGTATTTGCTATTGCTAGGTTGTGGGCCATGGGAAAATCTAGGATAGCCATACCCATCTCATTTCTTTTCCCAAAACCATATATCCCCCGTGTACCCTCCATATCTTTCACTATCTTTTCCTACATGGCCATTTAAGTCCCCTCTTGGACGGGCCTTTCTCCATTCAGTATTTCTTGAACAAGTCCATCCATGTCCCCTCAGAATTGCCTCTTAATTCTATCCTCTAGTCCTATCGTGACACATAAGCACTAATTAACTACTTTATCATTTAAATCTTTATTTAGTATTATGCCTGCGCCACTTCTATAATTGGTTAACTGCCTATTACATTGTAAGTCAATATATCAAATCACCAAGAACCATGAAATACATAATTATGGTCAATAAAATTGAAGGCCTTTCGATATATCGCTTTTTAGGTAGACCTCGCTAGAACTTTTACTTGATTATGCTGGTCAGTGAATGTGATCGCAAGTGGTCCTTCAAGTGTACTGGGGATTGGTTGTATATGAGTGGAAAAGTTTCTAATTTTCCCCTTCCAAAGCCAACAATGCCACAAGTCAATAACAAACCCAAGCCATCCTGCAGCCTCACTGACATGTCTTGTTAATTTCCTTAGTGTACACAACAGAAGGAACATATATATACGTCGCATTCACTGCTACACTTCATGCTCTATGCGAGTTTTTTCTTTTACTGCTCTCTGAAGGCTAAGTACTACCAAGGTGGTATTATTTCCAGCATTTTTCTCTTTTTTTTTTCCCCTTTTGGAGTGGGTGGGGCGTTGTTGAGTTTTCTCAAATGTAGCCATTCATTCTTGAATATTTGGTGGGGGGTTGTTGAGTTTTCTGAAATGTAGCCATTCATTCTCGAATATTTTTGGGAGACTTAAAAACTGCAAACTTATTCATTTGTTCAATTTTCTCCTGAAATTTTAGAATCTTGGAATCTTTTGGGTTTCTATGATGGGTGCAATGGATTGGACTGGTGCAGAGACCGGATGGGGAACATTGAACCTCTAGCAGTCTTATAAGGTTCAGGGAAAATAGGGGAGTAGGTTTGAAGAACATGATGGTGAGAAGGTTGCAGTCAAAGATCGGTAGATCTAGTACAGGTAGACTAGCGGGAGCTAGAAGCACTTCCAGAAGGCAGGAATTTGGAAGACGAGAGCTTAGTCATTCTGAGGTTCCTTTCAGAAGTTTCGGTAATCACGCGTCCCGTGGTAGGGGCTTCAGAGGTGTCCAGGGAGACTGGGTGTTAGACAGCAAAGGTTACTTGCACTTCAGTTGGGACCAGATTTACAAGCTATACCCCAACTCATCTACTCTGTCCACTCCTCCCCCTCCTATTCTTGGTTTTCTAACAGCAGTCTCAACTCCTACCATCGAGAACCATTCTAACTCTCGCTCCACCCAGGCAAGCCGAGCTGAGAAACCATCTTACAGTCAAG